CCCTCCTCCTCATCAAGGAGCACCTCTCTTTCAGCTGTAAGCGAGTGCGGTGCGCGTGGTGAGGTCGTCTTGTGCCGAATGTTGATTTCAGAATGCGGCTTATTAGCCGGAAAAGGTGTTGTGGAGTTACAATTAATAAAAATTTGTGATCATGCGAAAAGAAAAACAATGACAACCACAAAAAAACCTCTTTGGCCTCAGATGAACTATGAATATCCGAATCAGGCCAGTCACTGTCCGCCTCAATAAAGGCAAATGCCAGCTGGTCCGCCTCTGTAGCGACATCTCCTATGAAGAATGAATGGCAACAGAAAGTTGTAAAAATATCAAATCGTCGTCTCACCTGACTTTCTTGATCCTGATCTTGGCTGACAATCCCAAGGGCTCATTATATCTTCCTCACCAGAATCCCAAACTATACGAAGGCAGAACCACAGAGAACTGCAAATGCCAAATCATACACAGTGAGCTGCCAGTTTCTAGGTGAAGCTAAATTCTGTCACATATGCCTGAATCATTTTGACTATCTTAATCAGAGATGTCACAAGTACTTGTTACGAACAACCCCTTATATGTTATGAAACATGACAATAGTAAGCCAATCAGACAAAAACAGAACGAAACGAATCAGAAACAAGCAAAGCCAATGAATAAAACTTCGAAGTGTAAAAACCACCCTGTCAAACTGAACAGAAAATTAGAATCGGTTTTCACATAATAGCGCTTAAAATAAGGTAAAGTTTAATGTATGACGACTCCTTAGCTTATATCACACCTTGGAAATTCCTCAGATTTGGGCTCCTTCCTGTTCACTGTACCCGTCCACCACTGCCCATCAAGTATGGACTCAATCCTGTCTCCCTCCTGAACATTCTGCGCAACTGAAGCGTCATAGTGCTCTTTCAGTATGATAAAATCTGGCACATTTGCTAGGTCGTGGAATCTAAACTGCTTAGATGTCTGAATGAGATAAAATCAAACAACAGTCTAAAACAAAGGGAGGGACGTACTTGACGGTCCAAGAAGCACCAGTCCGTTGTCCTTCGCCGTCTGTCTGCGCCAGTCGCACTACCGTTAATCGGTATGGTTTTCGTACGTAGCGCACTTCTTCAACAATGCCAAATTCTTCTGCAGCGAGTGATGGCCTTCAAAATAGCGATGTATGAGAGAAATCGTATAATCAATATTTAACATCACCACTTACTTTGGCCTCATTTTAGAACTGATAGGGTATAAATTTAGCGCTTCAACTCTTTCCAAGTAAGATTCGTGCCCTTGGCGAAAGTACACTACATGATCACCCAGCTGGGCAATGTAAGGGAATCGACGCGGTTCTGTCATACGCATCCAATCAGGAAAGGAATCGAGAAAACTCTCTGCAATAAAGTGATATTGGTCAAAAACGGCGGTTTTCTTATGTGTCCCAAAACCTTTCTTCTGACGTGGGCGAGGTGGCCTTTTCGTAAAAGATTCAGAAGTTGATGGACCAGGTGCTTCCATGTCGTCCTCTTCAGGCAATTTCAATTCAGCAGCAGAAGACTCAACATTATCCTGCAACAAAAAAAAGAGGAAAAGATCTGAGGATGTGATCAACAATTGCTGAGGCGCAAAGACATACAGCAATTCTAATTTGACGACGAGCTTCCCTTCTCCGACCTTCTTCCGGCATGTTCCCATCTATGCGCTGGGGTCGTTGTACACGCCGACCAGATGCCGTAGTTATAGTAGTTTCAATGCCCTTAATTAGAGCCTAGTAGCATGGGAAGTTTTAAAAAAATCCTTTTGCCGAGAAAATAGTGCAATAAGCAAAAGATTGAAATAAAGTAGGTACGATAGCTTATAAATTTTAAGACAATTTATCAAAATGATAAGAGTTAGTTGAAGAATATACAGATTGAGATCTCGTTAACGGGAGAAGTACCACTTCTTTTTCTTGTCGACTTCCGCTGTCTGCCGAACCCACAGAAAAGTCTGAATCGCTAGTGTCAGAGTCAGAGCTAGCTTCTTCAGACGAACTTTCAGAATTGCTGGAGTGTAACAAGTTTATTGAGGTGTAGCTTGCTTTCACATCAGATACCTGTAGCTGTCGTCCATATCACTTTGATAGTTCTCCATTATGGCAGCAGCTCTCCTTGCATCCTGTGCTGCAATTGCTTCATCAAGTGTTGGAGGACGTTGTCGACGACTTGATCGTTCAAATCGTTGAATTATCGGTGGATCTCGAGCAGTGCCCCGATATCTAGTAGTACTCTTCCCTAAAAGGTTAAACTTCAAATTAAAAAAGAATTTTTCGATGAGTACAGCAAAGAGGAAGATTATGTAACACACCAACA